TTGCTTAATATTTTATTTTTAAATTTATTCATGTCAATAAATTCCCACACTAAAAGACTCCCCTGAAATTTCTGCCCAATCATTAACGGTGAAAACTCAGAGCATAAAGAACCTATAGGTACTTACAATAAACTGATTTTCAGGTTGGCAATATTATTGGCAGTGGTAAAACCTGCATCATTGAGGGTTTCCCATTTCAAGATTAAATTATGCCAATCAGCTGCATTGTCCTTAATTTTTCTTGCACTGACAGATAAGACAGGTTTTCTGGGTGTTGCAATTCCAAGAGTCTTTGCTGATAGACAGTAAAAGAAACATAATTATTATAGAATACATAATCATAGTTGGAGGGCAAACGTTATAACTTTCAATAGTAAAGTTATCTGAAATGCTATGTCATCTGGACAAATAAATGCTATAGAGGCTCAGAAGTCTTAATGAATGTGAAAGTTCCTGGAATAAGACAAAAAAGAATTTTTTTTACATTTTAAGATTCACCAGATATAGTTGCATCCTTTTTCAGCTTAAGGGGGCCACAAAGTTTTTACCTTAAGCAGTTTGACTCCTTTCAAAGATGAGAAATAAGGTAAAGTTGTGACTTTCTGCTAAAACTCTTCAATGGCTTCTATTCCTTTTTTTTTACAGCATAATCTAGCCCTGACTCCTTAGTAATCCCACTGTCAGTCTCAGGCACTTGGATACCTTAAATTTGTTCAGAGCTCTGTGGCTCACGAGTGGTTGTCATTCCAAGACACCAAGACACCAGAGATGCAGGCATGATCACGATGCTGCCACTGCCCTGCTTGGAACTCAGGAGGAAGTCCAGCCTCCTTCTGGCTGTCCACCATTCTCAACCCACACCATGAGCCCTCCTCAGTCTCCAATTAAAGTGAACCACTGGCAGCTCTTCAAAAGCTGAGTTGCCTGAAGGTCTTTGCACATGCAGTTCCCTCTCCTTCCTTCCTCACGCTAATGCCGCCCGTCCTCCAAGATTCATCCCGATCCCACCGCCCATGGGAAGCAACCCCCAGACCACCAAGAGTCAACTCAGGTTGTTTGTTCTCCCCCAGCCTTCTTGTGTACTTTTTCCTTCTCTACTTAGCATTCTACATAGGCTTCTCATGGCCCACAGGATAAAGTCCCCTTGAGGAATACAGGACACACAACAGCTGTATGGTTTGGAGTCTAGACTGTGAAGACCACATTGCCTGGGTCTGAATACCAGCTCTGCCAGCTGTGAGATCTTGGGCAAGTTAGTGAACCTCTTGGAGCCTCAACATTCTCATCTGTAAAATGGGAATAAAAATGTTAATAGTATCTACTTCATAAGGTTGTTGGAATTGGATAATATGTATGAAACTGTGAGGGCCTGGCACATGGCAGGCATATACTATTTTACCTGTTATCCCAAGGTCCTCTACTACCTAAGCTCTGCCCATCTCTTCTACAGCTTTCTCCTCTCCCACTTGTTTTCTATGCCTCAGCACTGGCTCTGTACAAGTTCTGACTTTGACTTGGAATGTTTTTCTTATAAGCGTGTGGTCCCACTCAGCTGGTTAACTCCTAGTATTCTTGAGAGCTCCACTTTAACATATCGTATTGATTTTTCATTCACTCTTTACTTAAACAGCTATTTGCTTACTGCCTACAATATGCCAGGCATAGGGGAATGAAGTGACTGCATGAGACAGACCAGAACCGTTTTCATGGAACTTACTTTCCAAAGGGAAAGCAGATAATTAACAATTAAATGACCACAATTAGCTCCTATAATATAAATGGGGCCTGTGTTAGCGTGACCCCGAGAAGGTGTTATTTAGGTTGAGACCTGAATGATGAGAAGCCAGAAAAAGGAAAGGAGAGTCAGCAACTGGGCTCTAACATAGAAATGAACTTGGTGGGTTCAAAAAATAAAAAAAAAACTAGTGTGGTTAGAATGAAATGGACGAGGGGAGGAATGGGTGTGTAGATGATCAGAAAACTAGAACCTTACAGGCCAAGATAAAAATTTGGACTTTATTCTAAGTACAACGGAGAACACGCAATAGGCTTTGAGTAGGGCAGTGACATGATCTCGTTTAGGTTTTTAGAAAGTCATTTCTGCAAAAAAGGCTTCCTGGATCCCCCAGGTTGGGTTAGCACTCGACAGACTAGATATCTAGAACATCCTATAATTCTGCTATCATGACACTCACCAGTGTACTGTATTTACTTGTTTAATATCTACATTCCCTGCTAGACTGTAAGTTCCACCAGGGTAGGGACTATTTCTTATTCTTTTTCAGACCCTCAGCACATACTAGGTGCTCAGTAAAATATGTTAAATGGAGGAATAGCTCTTAACTACCTGTTCTATAATCGTCTCAGGGTTTCTCTCCCCCAGTATGGGTTCTTAAGGGCAGGACCACATCTGATTCATGGCCAGTCTGCCTCATATTTGGCACATACGTAGGAGCCAAAAACATAGCTCTGACTTCAAGAAACTTACAGGCTAGTAGGGAAAATAGAGACCAATAAAGAGAGCCACAGGACAGGGTACAGTGAGGTACAGCACAGTGGCTAAGTGACTCATCCCCTCCAAACCTTGGCTCCCCATCTGCACAATGAGGTTGACATATATTACTTCATGGGATCGTTGTGAGGCTTAAATGGGCTGATCCACGTACTCAGAACACTACTCGTCAAACAGTGAGCACTCCCTGCATACCAGCTTTCATTACAAGCAGAATGGTCTGTGGCCAAGTAATTCCGATGGAGGGGGTTCAGGGAGGGGCGGAGGAGCTAGGCATGTAAGGATTGGCACCCAGTGAGTTCCGTTAATGCTAATTTACAGTAACGACAATTACAATTTGGGTGTCAGATCTGCTGACACTCTTTTGCATACATTATCCTGCTCAGTTGTCACTCCACGTGAAAAAACTGAGGCTTGGCAAAACTTTCCCCCGAGCTGACTGCAGCAAAGCCTGTGCGGGGCCAGCGCGCTGGGCTGGGGCAAGGCACAGACCCTCATTTACTCCAGAGGGCTCCCGACCTTCTCACTCAGCCTGAGGCCCAAGCCGTAACCCTCACAGCCTCCCCTACCCGAGAATCCCACCCTTCTCACGCACCTTCCATGCGGTCCGCAGAGATCCTTGGAAGGAGACCCGAAGCCCCGCCCACTCACGCCGGAAGCGTGATGGCGCAACTTCCGCCCGCCCCGTCCGCTGCCACTTGTGGCTCTGCCGCTCTAGCCCCCGGCGGAGCCAGCTGCGGCTCTCCGGTGCCGGCCCCGTTGCCCAGGGAACGGGCTCCCGGCAGCCCCCGCGGCCCAGAGGCCATCCCCGCCTCCTCCGGCCCGGCGGGGCCGACGAGTCCGGAGGGGCTGTCGCGGGAGGTGAGTCCAGCGACGCCGCGGGCGGCCCCGACGCCCAGCCCCGCGCCCCTTCCTTGGCCTCCCAGCCGCCGCTCACTCCTCCCTGTGGCCACCCTTCCCTCGCCTCAGCCCCTCAGGGTCAGCACTGCCCGTTTCGCCCCATTCCTCCCGGCCTGCCGTCTCGCCCTCGCGGAGTGGCGGAGACCAAATGCCCTAACAGGGAAACGCCTGGCTCGCCGCCTGGCAGAAGCCAGCGGTCCGCAGAGCAGAGCAGTTGTCGCCCACCGCTCCTGGCTTCGCTGGGTCTTCCCACACCATCTTTTGGGCCGCCGCCTGGCGCGCCGCGGCTCCCCTCGCTCCTCCCCATCTGCCGCACCCTGGCATCCCTTCTGCCGCTGGCCCCGCGGCTTCAGGCCCCTTGGTTGTAAGGTTGACGTTCTGTCCCCCGACCCTCTCAGCCCCTGTCCCTACGTCTGCCCGTCAGCTCCTGGCAGCAGGCCTTGACTTACCCAGTAGGTGTTCAGTAAGTACTTGTTAAATGAATAAGTGAGTGACTCCTCTCTCAACCCAGTTGTAATGCCTGGGAGGCAGGGTAGGTAGTGAGGGTTAAAGAATGGGATGCCCTGGAGTCAGACCCTGGGTTAGGTCCCAGCGCTGCCCCTTCACAGCTGTGTGTTCGAGACAAGTGCCACCACCTCACTAGGCTTGTGTCCTCACCAGTAAAATGCAGATGATAATCGTTTCTATCTTCGGCTTCGTGGGAGGATTAAATGGGTCAGTGCATGTAAAGTTAAGCACAGTGCCGGGCACGCGGTACATTGCAATACATGATAGCCCCTACGGTCATCACCTGCATCTGTGCTAGCCTGTCTGCTTTCTCATTCCTCTTGTCCTTTCTTACATGTCTCTAACTTCTCATTAGTTTTCCTTCTTTACTTCTATTTGTGTTCCCTGCTGTTTGTTCTTCCTCTCTCAGTGGGATTCAAGAATTTTATTCTGTTCTGTTGCTTCTGTTCCATTTGTTGAAAGAATGTGGGGGTACCAGCCTGGGTGCACCCTTTTCTCATTTACTGGAGCGATCACTTGCACCTGGGGTTGACTACTTCCTGGCAGCCAAGGTCTTGTAAACTTTAAGGAAGGAAACTCTGGGAAATCCCGAAACCCAGATCTCAGGCATAGGCAGAATCTGGGAACGAAGCCACTGTAGCATCTTATGGTCACCAGCAACTCCTGGTCTTTTAAGCTGCAAGACTTTTTGTACCTTCTCACACTCTAATTTGCCTTAATAAGCCTCTAATCTTGCTGTTTTTGGTAACCTGACTTCCATCCCATGTTTGTTCATTCAGTGGGTAGTTATTTGGGGTCCATTGCGTGCCAGCTACTGCACCAGGCTCTAGGGATGCTGTGGTGGGCCAGACAGACCCAGCTGCTGCCCTCAGGGAGCTAATAGTCTGGCCTTTGAGCTCTCAGACTGAGAACCTAGTGCAGGTATGGAGGATATTTGAGTTTTCAGGACTGACTTGGAAAGCAGTGATGGGGAACATGAAATAAGGATAGTCCTCTTCTGGAGTGACTAGTAAGTAGGTTTTGTTAGGTTTAAGTTGTTTTGTAGCCATATTGTCTTTTTCTTTTTTTTCTCTCTTTTTTTTCCAAAGCAAGAAAGATTTGGATATATTGTCTTTTTCAATAGAAGACTAGCTCCTACTGTATTTTTTTTCCTTAGAAAAGTTATACTTCAAATTTAAAGAGGATCTCATTTCATGTTAGCTTCTTAGATAATTTGAACAAAATGGCTACTAGAACTTAGTGGGGGGAAAGGAAGGAAACAGGCATCAGGCAGAGCAGTTGATTGAACTTGGAAAGATGAAGAATAGATCAGGAAACAGTTATATACATAACAAAAAGCTTTGGCATCAAGTGTGGAGAGATTTCTAGATATAGCGACGCACGGAGAGCTTGGTAGAATCAGGAGGGGAGTAGTTGATAGCTTTGTGAATTGCTAAGGTAGAAGTGAGCTATAGTTCAAACAGCATGTTCAGTTTAAAATGAATGTATTCTTTGGACCTGGACATAAGATTTCCAGTGGGTTTTCGCCACTATCTTATGTTTAGGGCTGTCATACTCAGGAAAATCTGGCACAGTGTTTCAAGAGAGATTAATTCAACAAACATTTGTTGCACATTGATTGTACTCTTTATTGACTGGTCTTTTGAAGCACCACAAAGTTTATAGACTAGAAGGACATAGGCAAAGACTAGAAAGAGTCCACTGAAGGAGATTGAAAAACATGATGGTGCTGTGTGATAGCTGCCCTCATGGAGTTCTGTGCAAGCAGAGAAGGACCAGCCAAGTGTCTGAGGGAATCTGAAGGCTTCCTGGTGGAGAAGTAGTTCCTACAGGGTATGTCTGGGGGATGTGGGAGAGTGGAAAGGGACTTTGCTCTGCAAAGACATACGGGTCATAGTGTGTTCAGGGACTGTGGCAGAAAGCTCATTGCACTGGAGCAGAGTGTGTGGATGGGAGAGCAGCCCGAGATGAAGTTAGGTACAGACCACTTTGTGCAAATGTCCAGTTTCCATGCTTGTGTTAGGCTTTAGCTTGTGAGCACTGGCTAGCCAGTGGGGATGGGAACAGGGAAGTGACAGAATTTAATCTGGAAGATAAATGACTGCCTCAGTCTCATTATGTTCTGCCACAAGAATTTAACACTTAAAAGAATTAATAGATGTTGTTGCCAGACTTTAAAAATAGATTGTACAATAGGGATACTGATTGTTGCTTCCTAGAGA